ATTTGATGGGGTACGCCATACTGCGTTTATTAAAATGATACTGAGTATTATTTGATGGGGTATGCCATACTGCCATTATTAACATGATACTGAGTATTATTTGATGGGGTACGCCATACTGCCTTTATTAACATGATACTGAGTTGTATTTGATGGAGTATGCCATACTGCCTTTATTAAGATGATATTGAGTATTATTTGATGCGGTATGCCATATTGCCTTCATTAAAATTATATTGAGTAGAGATATCGCGAACTGTCCGCCGAACTGTTCGTGAACTGTCCGCCGTCGAACAATAGCGTGTTCGCGTTGGGCGAACATATCCGATTTCCGGTCCGCCCCCTATACGTAATCATTGAGTAAACTTTGACCCGGAACCTCACAGCCAGCAGACACATTCCACCCAATCAGCAGCAGACCCTCCCTCCCAGGAAGTGTCGGCTGACTGTGAGGTTCCGGGTCAAAGTTTACTCAATGATGACATATAGGGGGCGGACCGGAAATCGGATATGTTCACCCAACGCGAACACGCTATTGTTCGCCGGCGGGCACTTCGCGAACAGTTCGGCGGACAGTTCGCGACATCTCTAATATTGAGTATTATTTGATGGGGTATGCCATACTGCCTTTATTAAAATGATATTGAGTATTATTTGATGGAGTACACCATACTGCCTTTATTAAAATGATACTGTGTATTATTTGATGGGGTACGCCATACTGCCTTTATTAAAATGATACTGAGTATTATTTGATGGGGTACGCCATACTGCCTTTATTAAAATGATACTGAGTATTATTTGATGGGGTACGCCATACTGCCTTTATTAAAATGATACTGAGTATTATTTGATGGGGTACGCCATACTGCCTTTATTAAAATGATATTGAGTATTATTTGATGGGGTACGCCATACTGCCTTTATTAAAATGATACTGAGTATTATTTGATGGGGTACGCCATACTGCCATTATTAACATGATACTAAGTATTATTTGATGGGGTACGCCATACTGCCTTTATTAACATGATACTGAGTTGTATTTGATGGAGTACGCCATACTGCCTTTATAAAGATGATATTGAGTATTATTTGATGGGCTACGCCATACTGCCTTTATTAAAATGATATTGAGTATTATTTGATGGGGTACGCCATACTGCCTTTATTAAAATGATACTGAGTATTATTTGATGGGGTACGCCATACTGCCATTATTAACATGATACTGAGTATTATTTGATATGGTACGCCATACTGCCTTTATTAAAATGATATTGAGTATTATTTGATGGGGTGTGCCATACTGCCATTATTAACATGATATTGAGTATTATTTGATGGGGTACGCCATACTGCCTTTATTAAAATGATATTGAGTATTATTTGAAGGGGTACGCCATACTGCCTTTATTAAAGTGATACTGAGTATTATTTGATGGGGTACGCCATACTGCCATTATTAACATGATACTGAGTATTATTTGATGGGGTCCGCCATACTGCCTTTATTAAAATGATATTGAGTATTATTTGATGGGGTACACCATACTGTCTTTATTTAAATGATATTGAGTATTATTTGATGGGGTACGCCATACTGCCTTTATTAACATGATACTGAGTTGTATTTGATGGAGTACGCCATACTGCCTTTATTAAGATGATATTGAGTATTATTTGATGGGGTACGCCATACTGCCTTTATTAAAATGATATTGAGTATTATTTGATGGGGTACGCCATACTGCCTTTATTAACATGATATTGAGTATTATTTGATGGGGTGTGCCATACTGCCATTATTAACATGATATTGAGTATTATTTGATGGAGTACGCCATACTGCCTTTATTAACATGATACTGAGTTGTATTTGATGGGGTACGCCATACTGCCTTTATTAAAATGATATTGAGTATTATTTGATGGGGTGTGCCATACTGCCATTATTAACACGATACTGAGTATTATTTGATGGGGTACGCCATACTGACTTTATTAACATGATACTGAGTTGTATTTGATGGAGTACGCCATACTGCCTTTATTAAGATGATATTGAGTATTATTTGATGGGGTACGCCATACTGCCTTTATTAAAATGATATTGAGTATTATTTGATGGGGTACGCCATACTGCCTTTATTAAGATGATATTGAGTATTATTTGATGGGGTACGCCATACTGCCATTATTAACATGATACTGAGTATTATTTGATATGGTACGCCATACTGCCTTTATTAAAATGATATTGAGTATTATTTCATGGGGTGTGCCATACTGCCATTATTAACATGATATTGAGTATTATTTGATGGGGTACGCCATACTGCCTTTATTAAAATGATATTGAGTATTATTTGATGGGGTACGCCATACTGCCTTTATTAAAATGATACTGAGTATTATTTGATGGGGTACGCCATACTGCCATTATTAACATGATACTGAGTATTATTTGATGGGGTACGCCATACTGCCTTTATTAACATGATACTGAGTTGTATTTGATGGAGTATGCCATACTGCCTTTATTAAGATGATATTGAGTATTATTTGATGCGGTATGCCATATTGCCTTCATTAAAATTATATTGAGTAGAGATATCGCGAACTGTCCGCCGAACTGTTCGTGAACTGTCCGCCGTCGAACAATAGCGTGTTCGCGTTGGGCGAACATATCCGATTTCCGGTCCGCCCCCTATACGTAATCATTGAGTAAACTTTGACCCGGAACCTCACAGCCAGCAGACACATTCCACCCAATCAGCAGCAGACCCTCCCTCCCAGGAAGTGTCGGCTGACTGTGAGGTTCCGGGTCAAAGTTTACTCAATGATGACATATAGGGGGCGGACCGGAAATCGGATATGTTCACCCAACGCGAACACGCTATTGTTCGCCGGCGGGCACTTCGCGAACAGTTCGGCGGACAGTTCGCGACATCTCTAATATTGAGTATTATTTGATGGGGTATGCCATACTGCCTTTATTAAAATGATATTGAGTATTATTTGATGGAGTACACCATACTGCCTTTATTAAAATGATACTGAGTATTATTTGATGGGGTACGCCATACTGCCTTTATTAAAATGATACTGAGTATTATTTGATGGGGTACGCCATACTGCCTTTATTAAAATGATACTGAGTATTATTTGATGGGGTACGCCATACTGCCTTTATTAAAATGATATTGAGTATTATTTGATGGGGTACGCCATACTGCCTTTATTAAAATGATATTGAGTATTATTTGATGGGGTACGCCATACTGCCTTTATTAAAATGATACTGAGTATTATTTGATGGGGTACGCCATACTGCCATTATTAACATGATACTAAGTATTATTTGATGGGGTACGCCATACTGCCTTTATTAACATGATACTGAGTTGTATTTGATGTAGTACGCCATACTGCCTTTATTAAGATGATATTGAGTATTATTTGATGGGGTACGCCATACTGCCTTTATTAAAATGATATTGAGTATTATTTGATGGGGTACGCCATACTGCCTTTATTAAAATGATACTGAGTATTATTTGATGGGGTACGCCATACTGCCATTATTAACATGATACTGAGTATTATTTGATGGGGTACGCCATACTGCCATTATTAACATGATACTGAGTATTATTTGATGGGGTCCGCCATACTGCCTTTATTAAAATGATATTGAGTATTATTTGATGGGGTACACCATACTGTCTTTATTTAAATGATATTGAGTATTATTTGATGGGGTACGCCATACTGCCTTTATTAACATGATACTGAGTTGTATTTGATGGAGTACGCCATACTGCCTTTATTAAGATGATATTGAGTATTATTTGATGGGGTACGCCATACTGCCTTTATTAAAATGATATTGAGTATTATTTGATGGGTACGTAATAATAACATTAAAATGATATTGAGTATTATTTGATGGGGTACGCCATACTGCCATTATTAAAATGATATTGAGTATTATTTGATGGGGTACTATACTGCCTTTTTTATTAAAATGATACTGAGTATTATTTGATGGGGTACGCTTATATCGCCATTATTAACATGATACTGAGTATTAGTTTGATATGGTACCATACCGCCTTTATTAAAATGATATTGAGTATTATTTCTCATGGGGTGCTTATACTGCCATTGTTAAATATGATATTGAGTATTATTTGATGGGCTTCATACTGCCTTTATTAAAATGATATTGAGTATTATTTGATGGGGTACGCCATACTGCCTTTATTAAAATGATATTGAGTATTATTTGATGGGGTACGCCATACTACCTTTATTAAAATGATACTGAGTTGTATTTGATGGAGTATGCCATACTGCCTTTATTAAGATGATATTGAGTATTATTTGATGGAGTACGCCATATTGCCTTTATTAAAATTATATTGAGTAGAGATATCGCGAACTGTCCGCCGAACTGTTCGTGAACTGTCCGCCGTCGAACAATAG